TATGAGAAAGGGTAATCGTGTTTTGGCAATGAGGAGGTGTAAAGGGGTAAGATACAACTCTTCTAAGGTTCACTATATCAGAAAAACACATTAACAAAATGTTCAGCTGAGAAAAAAAATCCCACCAAAATATTTTTGTGTTGATCATTCCTGTTCCTTTTTGTTCTTTATTTCTCTCTCACAGTTCAATTCTCATTGATACCACTTCTGGCATGTTTCCCCATGAGAGGATGACCATAGCTCCAGTGCTTGTTATCTTTCCTTATGAACCTTCTTCATTAAACAAAACTACTGTCCTTCCTGTCACTGAGTGTCCTCCCTTTGTCTTATCCTGTAGGAAATATCCAAATACTTCTATGTACTTTTAAAAATTCTGGAAGCCTGTTTTCCTTTGCACATAGCTGTCTTTCCTCTCATCCTTTATTGATCAATGCAGGGTGCTTTTCTTTACAGCTCTGACACATCAGCTTTTCTCCACCTCACTATTACCACAGCTCTTGCAAAGATGAAATTTATTAGTTGGGTTTTTTGTTGGTTTTTTTTTCATTTTCCATTCTAAATCTTTCCATTACACCCAATTCAAGTTGTTCCTCTTTATCTAAAAGGTCTCTCACAGGTCTCTTGCTCTTTTTCACACCTGTTCATGTTTCATTTCACATTGTGCCTTCCAGTATTCTCCTCTAGAAATGGCTTTTGCCTGTGTCCATCTCTTCACTATTCCTCAGCTATTGGGGGTCTGGTATTTATTGGTTGGGTCTTTTTTACAGCTGTTTTCTCTTTGTGATAGTTTCCAAAGCGCCATCTTTACATTTGTATATTCATAATGCCTTTGAGCTTTCAGTTTCAGTTATATGCTGCCCTTTTATCATAGCCAAATCCTTATATCACTAGCCAAATAATTAAAGACATAATAAGTAGCAGTTAATACAGATGAAGAGCCTAGCCAAATAATTAAAGACATAATAAGGAGCAGTTAGTACAGATGAAGAGGATGCATTTTATTAAACATGCCCCATTTAAGTATAGACAGTTACTATATGTATATTGTGTACTACACATATAGGAATAAAGGAATAAAGTTATGATAGACAAATAATGCATCCTAGTGTTGTCACCTAATTTATGCTTTACATGCTGTTAATAGTCTTTAATGGTTACTGTTCTGGGAAAGCAGATAAGGGCTGAATATACAATATATCTTGGGAACTATAACTGTACATGTAGAACTGTTATTATTGTTCCAAATTAAATGATCTTGGCAGATTTTGTTTTCCTGCAAAGTTAATTTGAGAGCTTGATGTGGCCCAATAAGTATCTTGTTGCTAATAATTTGATCATACATTTTCTTCCTTAAGAGCCTTAAACTGCCAACACAACACATTTCAGCTCAGTAAGGAAAAAGACAGAAGAACATATCTGCAGATGAAATAAAATTTTGAAAAGACATTTGTATGAAATGCATATTTCACTAAAAAGTCATATATGGCCAATATAATGTTTATTCTTGGTATAAGAAGTCACACTAAGGAATCCTCCATGGCAATAGCATCAGTGTTGCAGGCTTTTTTCTTGTAGAGAACCATATAATGAAGCAGAAGCAGAGCTTTATTGTAAGCCATTTTTGGTGTAATTTTGTCTTGTGTCAAGCATTTATCTCTATGGTTTAATGAGAAAATAATGTTAACTTTCTAGCACCCAATGAAAACTTTAGGTTTTGACACTCTCATCACTAGCTCTATATAGTTTAATGTGTGTTTGTGATTGGATCTACCTTTTTAATGTAGGAGGATGTTTTTAAAAAAAACCTCTAAGGTGCTACAGAACACAAAATGTTATGTATTCAGCCAAATCAAGAGTTTTTAAAATCTCTTTAGCTGCACACTATGTTAAATAGAAAAGCTGTTTCCTTACTTTTTCTGTCTCATCCCTTCTTAAATTCAAGCAGTTCACAGTAACCTATGTACTTGCAAATAAAATTTTAAATGCCCATTTATTTTTGTTCCCAGCCTCAGTTTTTCCATAGAATTTGGCATAACTTTAGCTTCATTCACCTAACCTTGCAAAGGGAAATATTTTATAAGAAGGGTGATATATCCTTGCAATTTTTTCAGCAAGTCTGATTGTTTAACATCTGGTTTCCTTGGCACATAGAGAAAAGTCATAACCACAAAGGACATTTATTTCTCTAGTGTCTTTTGAGAGAATCATGTGATAATATCTTAAAAGCATATCTTGAAATTCTAAGTGGGGTTTTGCTTCTTCTAGAGAGACTAAACTTCTGCTACTGAGTATTTGAAGATTCTGATGGATTTGGAAATCCTTTGGAAGTCCTCTGTCACTGAATCACTGAATGATAAATAACTATGTGGCCATGTAAAAGGAAACGCTTCAAGAATTAAAATAGAAAATTTGCAAAAGTAAATTGTATTTTCTTAGTACGTTTGACTGTCAATTTTTTTTCCAATCTAACGTATGCTCTCATCTTTACTTTCCAACAGTAAAACAAAGCTTGTGCTTCTTCTTACAGTTTCAATCTGGCCTTCAGATGTGATTGAATGTACCCTAGAAGAAGTCACAGCAAGCGTTTTATTTGTGCTTTTAAAATAAATGTGCAGACTAGCAGTGGAACAAATAGGTATCATCAGCTCTGTTGATAACATCGTGTACAAAATAATTCTTCTCCCACCTCACAAAAACAAGGCATTGTAAATAAGTTATTATTTATTGAAATCTGACAGCATACTTGCTGTTGTGTGAGCAAGACTTTCTACTCATAATCGTGTGCTAAGAGCACATACTGACCTCACTTATATGGAGACGGGTTATTTGCTCACTTTGTGACTGCTGGAGCACTTTTTTTCCACTGGTAATGAACGGTGGAGTTTAAAAGTATGTTGTAGCAAAAGCAGAAAATCTTCATGCCCCAAAATATCACCAAAATAACCATGTGTGGTGAATTTGCACAGGTGTTTTGTTGTGGTTTAGAAGTGGTATTCCCCAATTTAGTATTTCTACTGAAACTCCCCAGACCATGCATCGCTCGCTCCCTCCCTCACCCCCTCCCCCTGCAGTAGGATGGAGGGAATTGGAGGCACTAAAGATCACTGGTTGAGATAAGAACAATTTACTAAGAAACAGCAGTGAACTAAAGAAATTAACACCAACAACTATACACAGAGTGTACAAGACAGGCTGACAACTCACATGTGATCACTCACCATGCAGAACCCAGAGCACTCAACCAAACCAGTGCTGGAACAAAGGGTACCCTCTGTCCTTGCCATCCCCTCTGCATGACTTGGGGTGGTATAGAATAACCCCAGGGTCCTAGAGTGCCTCTCTTGGCTGCTTCAAAACTTAACCCTGTCCTGGCTGGAACTAGGACATGCTGACAGCCAGAGCAGTTTGCAGGTGCTTCCTAGCCCAATGGAATAGAGTATTTGAAGGATTTCAATAACTGCCTTTCAAACTGTAGTCAAGATTTGAAAGCTCAGTTAAATTGAATGCAATTTTTTCCCACAGATGTAAAAAAAGAAAATAAATTAAATAAAAAATAAACCCCAACAAACAACCTAGTCTGTAACTAACAATATTATTGAGAAGATTGAAAGTTTTCTGTTGCCTGTGAGAATGTTGTGAGCAATATCACATTGAATGCAGAACATGGTCTTGAGTTATGCATGGGCTTAGTGTATTGCAGATATAATTCTACACTCATTGTCTGTGGCATATAAGAGAGGAAGAAAATTAAAAGACTGCTTAGCTGCATGGTAAAAGTCTTGGGCACATGGGAAGAACTGTAGTCACTGAAATAATGTGGGGTCCCACACCTCCGTAGAACTTCATGGACACTAAGGTTATATAAAATGCTGGCATTTGTCTTTACACTGAAAAAAGATAACAGGAATGATTTTTTATTTGTATTTGAGTAAATATGTAGGGGTTGTCAAACAAAAGCACAGTGCAATTAACTGTAAATTAAGTCAAAGGACCATATTGAGTATAGTATTAGTTAAGTCACTCATTCATACCCCATGAGACCCTCAGTTTCAGTAGCTACTTATTTATTTTCTTCACAGTATATATTTTGAAGCAGTCCAGTTGCTATGAGCAAGAGCTCAGAAGTTTTAAATATCTTCTTTTCATTTTTTAATGTTATAAAGTTAACAAGAGAAAAAGACTTTCCTATCTGTGAAAATTATTCTCTTGGCAAACACAATTGAAAGCTAAAATGTGTGCAGACTATATCTCTGTTTGATTATTCACTCTGAAAGAAACTTGGGTGATGACTCTGAGCTTTACAGATCAATGTAATTGCCATGTCTCTGACGGTTACAGGGGATTATTGCTAGAATAGTCACATGGGCTTTTTTAATTTGCTGGGGATTTATTCCTCCTTATTTTGAGCAATACAATTTGATACAATTACTTTAAAATAATTTGTGCCTCAATCTTCAGCATCCTCACTGTTGCAATATCCCTCAACCTGGTAAAGTGAGAAAGACCTTAGACCTTGAAGATTTCAAAAGAAAAATGGGAAGATGAAAAAGTACCATATTCATTCACTCCACTTTACTACTCTTTCTGCCAGTTTGAGAAAAATTGGGCCTTACTTTAAAGCCTGTGGTAGAAGTAGTGGTGAAAATAACCCTCTGTAATGTATCTATTTGTGTAATTTGATCTCTGATATTGCAATAACTCTGAGTGATCCCATCCTATTCTGTTCATGATTCCTGTTTTGACTGTTCTAGTCTCCAGCAAATGTATACAGGAGAAGAAAATAATTTTCATAAAAATATAACCATGTTCTTGTTCTTCTTCTTTTAACTGCATCTGATTTAAGCTAGAGGAATGGTACAACTTCTTTTCTTCCACTTCACTCTACTTTGGTTTATTATTTCTTTGAAAGGGTTGATGTGACTGGCTTGTAAATGTGCTAATGACATTACTGTGGGCAGCACAAGAGAGACAGACTGACATGGATCTCATCTTTTTTCCAGATGAGGATAGGAATTCACTCAGGATCAGTGCTGGCTGGTGTCGTTGGTGTAAGAATGCCACGCTATTGTCTCTTTGGGAACAATGTCACCCTTGCAAGCAAGTTTGAGTCAGGAAGTCACCCACGCCGCATCAATGTTAGTCCCACCACATACCAGTAAGTCCTCTTAGCCTTTTCATACTGTTTTTATTTCAGGGTGTTTTGAGTTTGATCTTATAACATGCTCTGTCCTCAACACATGAACTTAACAGAAAGTCACCAGGGCACCAGGTCAGCTGGAAGGAGGTGTAGCACGGGGGACATTGGTCTTTCCTTTGCAGGTTTGCATGAGAATGCACAAAGAAGTCAGGCAGTGGAGTCAAGGAGGCACAACAGGACAGCCAGCTATTCCTGCGTAAAATAACATGTAACAGAAAAAGTGGAAATATCTCCCAAAACACCTTAGGTTTATGCACTATTTGCAGATTTTGGCTAGGGATTTGGGTTTCATCTGCCTGACACAATTCATGGAAGGAAGCATATTCCCATTGGCTCAAAAGAAAGTCTTTAATTTTGCCAGTAAGGTCAAACTTTCAAAGAGTTTTTATGCTTTCTTGAAGACAAAATTTCTTATTTAGCACTGTAAAGAGACACTTGATAGAAGCATACTCTTAATGTAGTAAAAAAGATTGAAAATGGCAAAGCATTATCCCCAACTCTTTGAAGAAATTATGCAAATAGAGAGAAGGCTTGATTAAATCTGGTTATGAGGAACAGCTCCTAAATAAAAAATGTGTTCCTTATTGCTCAAATTTGACAGCTTGACTATTAGAATTTCTACTGCTTGGATTATGACTGATGTACTCACTTTTTTGGCAGGAGATTTCAATCTTGCTCTTTTTCCAGTGTTCTGTATCTGAAGTAATTTTCTAAAGTAAGGTTTTGCTCAGATTTTGAGACTGTTTCTCTGTAGTAAATATGTACAGTTGCTCAAACAATACTGCTTTTCTTTTTTTTTTCTTATTCAGAACTGTGAATCTCAATTTTTTTTTCCCATACCTATCTATATAAATGAAAGTTTTAAGTGGGATTTGTTCATACGAGAATTGAAGCATCTGGGATGCTAAAATATTAATCAGTCAGAAATTAAAGTTCAAAGAAATTAGACTAGTGCATAAAATGACATTCTTCTGAAAAGCCCATTCACTCAAGATCAGATTTTGAGAATGGAGCAAGTGTAGCAAATTGAACAAGAGGCAGAATAACTGAATACACTTTCTATCATAAAATGAACAGAAATAGATTCATACGGTTGTCTGGTAACATGCAAGAGAAAGACAGACCTAATCTACTATTTGGTATAGAAAACATTTTAATTTAAATAAAAATAAATTCAGTAAATATATAGGAAATTTCTGTTTGAAACTTGTCATTTGAAAAGAAATTGTCTTTGGGACTTGACAGATACAGTGTTCTAGTGGCTTTGGTGCCTGGTCTTCCACTGTGGGATAGGAGAAACCCTCTAAAACATTGTTTGAATAGTCAGTGTAAGATTGTTGGCCAATTATGTCCCAGTTTTTAAAAGTTTCACCGCAGCAGGGCCTTTGATGGTAATTTTATGCAAATGGATGATTGTGTTCTGGCAAAAAAGCCACCAAGGCCCTATGAGAGGGACCTGAACTTTTCTTGTACAGGATCAGTTCTTATAAAGGAATGTTCTCCAGCGTAAGATGGTCTTCAAGATATTCTGAAAGTGCAGTCCATACTTTTTCAGGTTTTAGTGCTTCATGAATGTGGTTCAGGGCTGTGGTTTCTCTCAGAGCTACAGTGTTGCTCATGTTTGTGTCCTTGAGAGTAGAAATTGGTGAGCTAGACAGTTTCATGGAAATATGAATGGTAGTTGTGGGACCAATGATGCACAAAACTCTCTTGTCATGCTGGAGCCAGAGTCACTTTCAGTGTACCAGTGCCAGTTCTGTTGAGTTTGGTTCTGAGTGATATGGCACCTCCTCTGTGAGACACAGATTTGTGGTCATTGTTGAGCAATCTGATCTACTTGAAGATGTCTCTTCTCACTGCTGGAGGAATGACTTAGATGGCTTTGAAAGGTCCCTTCCAACCCAAACTATTCTGTGATTGTATACTTTCTTTTCATCACACTGCTGATAAAGTCTCTTCTGAAAGCTAGTTTGAGGACTTGTATATGGAGTTTGTTAGAAATCTGTGCTTTTATGCTGCCCTTTTTTTGACTTCTACTACATTGTAGCACAGAGATGTCTTCTCTTTGTGTCTCACCTGCACTTGGCTGCACTTGGTCACACCATATCATGGCAAGTCAAATGCTTGTAACCTGGGTTTGGGGAGCATTCTTATTAAGACCTAGATAGCATAATGTAAGTCAGATTTTCTCACCCTGCACATCCTCCAGGTTATATCAAAAAGGGGGCTAAAATTTTTTTAACTTCCCTTTAATCCTAGAAATCCAGTAGAAATAGGACCATTTGTTTCACGATGGCCAAACTTTCATTTTACATGACTTCTTTGCTTATCTTCCAGAAAGGTACAAATTTAGGCTGTTTCTTCAAAAAAGGAAGATAGTATAAAAGTGACTGATGCTGCAGTAATGCTCTAAGGTAAAATTGCAAAACAAAACACAGCAAAATACAGAATTCTTGGTGTCTATGATCTTCCTTATTGTACTCTGTAAACAATCTGCTGTTACGTGCTGAAAAAAATCAGTGATGGATTCAGATTGATTTAAGTGCAAGTAACAGGTCAGACATAGGTAAAGGAAGCAGAAATGGCAAGAAAATAGATGTTTGAATGAGAGGCCATTCATTTTAACCGTTCAAGATGAATGGTTAAAAGCAATGATGATCAGGCTAAGAACATGTTTATAGCATAGGCTTCAGAAATTATGTGAGAAGATAAAATGAATGTGAATGGGGTGATTTAAAAAGGCTATTTCAAACCATACTTTCTGGCCTGGTTGAAAGCTTGAAAACAGACAGGGAAGAAGTCAAGGAATGACATTGCTGACACAGTGGCCATGACAGACTGCAAGTACAAAATACTCCATGGAGCTGAAAGGGATCTAGGAGGTTTGAACATAATATCCTGGTACTATCCAAATAAACAAGTAGTGATCTAATGCATCCATATATACCTTTTCTTAAATATAATTTGCATTAGTATATAGTTTGCTGGGTACAAAAAAAGTGATTCACCACGAACTGAAATGTCTTTATATTGGACTTTATATTCCATTAAATGCTTCTATTTGATCATACTGTACTGCTGTGTACTCAGTATTTTTATTGTCTAAGAAGCAGTGTTTTCTAAAGTCTAAGAAGCAGTGTTTTCCAAAGTAGATAATTCTGCAATCAGTATAAAAATAACAGAATTTTCAATTAAATAAAACCACTGGCATTTATCATTAGGTGTTTGTGTCTACCATGACCCCTGATGAAAATTGTAATACATGTTTTGTGCTTACAAAGCATGAAGATACTGGAAACATGTCCAATACCTATCAGCTTTCATTTTACAGTACAGATTATGCATTATAAAGTGTTATTAGCATTCAAATTATAATCACACTTCAGAATACCTGTTACTGGTTTCAGACACTTCCCTGCAAGCCTGTAATCTGCCTATGTAAGAATTAGAGTCTAAAATTATAAATGCAAGATGTGATGTTTGTTGCCTAGCAGCAGCAGTGAACCTGGGGCAGCCTTGCTCCAGTTACACCTGCCCAGGCAGAGTTTTGCTGTGTGTGAAACAGCACCTTTTACAGAGATGGCCTTTGAATCTGTTGAATCTGAAACCTCACTTCTGTGTGAAATAGCATGTTCTCTTGACTCAGGCAGGTCTTTTGACAGAAAGATCACAGAGCCTTGTTTGCTTTGAATCACTGCACATTGTGAAATGAAATCACTGGAACAGCACTGGTAAAACTTCCAGTGAAACATGTGGAAACTGGAGAGGAAGCAGATGATCCCAGACTGGTCCCTGTTTGAACACGTGGACAGGAAGGAATAGGAAAAGCAACAGCTCAAGGTTTACTTAATTCATCTACATTATCCTGAATTGATTAGAATTACCCTATTTTCCATACTCAGGAAGGAAGCACAATGAGACTTATGAGACTCTTCAGCACAGAAAAGAGATTAAATATTTTTTAATTCTTTGTTTCAGCCTTGAATAGTGATTTTTAATGAGATATTAATATAATATACCCACATTCATCCTGTTCTCCTAATAGTATTGCAATGTAATGCCTTGGGATTTCTAAGCAGTTATCAAAAGCAGGTAAACATAATTGTTGCTATTTGTCAAGTGACTGCTATTTTAAAATGAATTCTTCTTTTCCTCTTCTTTCTACCTCTGATTTTTTCCAGCACATATTTCCCTTGTGTAGAATGTGCTTCTGGCATTAAGTGTTGGGTACAGATACTTTCCATTATCACATGCTGGGCAATACATCTGGGACCTGAGCTTATGTGAAGATGAACAGCCTGTATCCCACATCTTTATCTTGATTTAGGAGAGAGCAACTAAGTGTACCTCCTTTTTGAGCTGGGTGAGGTCACTGTGTGTTCACCTGCTTTAATTGCTCCTTAGCCTTTAAAATTGATTAAAAACTGCAGAATTTGAATAGGTTTTTAATATTTATCTCACAGAAGGTTGTATGGAGGAATTCTTAGGTAATTGAGAAGTATTTATATATTTCTCTCTTTACTGGGATTTTAAATTAAAACTATGCCTTTCTAGAAACTCCTTACAGATGTTTATTTTAATCAAATTCTTTTTCCTGTAGGTTATATCTATATGTATTATTTTTCCTACAGGTTGTATCTGTGTTTTTTTACCTCTTATGGACAAACCAATGGGTTTGCTCTCCAAGATCTTTTTCAGATCATTTTAGATTGTATTGCTGAGCATCTTTAAAAAAAACTGTTTGTTTTTATATTGTTCAATTCACCATGTATGCTTTCAAAAACATTGGTGAACAGGCAATTTAGTTACAGACAGAATGGGAGGACAGTTTATACATGGACATAAAAAAAAATATTTCTGGTCTAATTACAGTACTAAAAGTGCAGTCAAAGTGCACTGGTTTATTCTTGGGTTTCTGTTCCCAGTGTCATCTTCTTCCACCAAGCTGTACCTCCATA